CTACTATAAGCTATAATACTAAACTCAATAGAAGGGCTAGGACCCAAATCCTACCTAGTATAACGCTAAAGGCTTTAAAAACGTAACTAAGCAACTACACTAATTCTATAAAAACCACCCTAATTAGGCTAGTCCACCAATATAGATTAAATACTAGGAAAAGGCTACTTTCGCCGATAAGTTCGATCCGCTACACCCTAACGATAATAAGGCCTACTCGGCGCGCCGTAGAGCGAAGACTCGCCGTCGTAATTAAAAGATATTAAAGGTAATTAACGATTTATTTAAATTCAACGACCTTTAATTGAACCGAAGAATACTACTAGCCTAATATATATATAGCTACGTACGGAATCGATTATCACTATATCGTAGAGAAGCTAATTAGATGAATTATAGATTCGGGCTCGTAGCTTACTTAGTTAGTAGAAACCTGAGGGTATCCCCGCTCTACTTAGAAAGCGATACTATAATAAGGTCACAAATTCGAAACCTAAGCAAACCTTAGCAAATAGCTATTACCTAGCCGCTATAGTTTTTTACTTTTAATATTAATAAAGCATTAGATAATATAACATTAGACACGGATAGATAAAGACGGATAAATATAGATAGTAGACTATAATAGATATATACGATCGTTTCGGGATAAGACTTTATTATTGAGAAGGGGTAGTATTATAGCACTAGCTAATACATAACCCATTCGATACACTACAAGCTACGCCACTAGCTGGATTACGGGGCTAGGCCCTAGGTAGTCTATGCGCTACACTAGCCACTATTAGCTTAGCCTATGCACATAGCCCATTTGCTATATTCCTACCTCGAGGCGCGCGACGCAACTTTGTTTTCCTTTCCTTTTCCTTACCACTAGATACTACTCCGTAGGCTAGGTATTCTATTGCGTTCTATTACATCAGTATCACTACACCGTAATAGTAAGACGCTTTCGTAGTCTTAGATCTTTACGAGGAACTTAGCGAATAATATAGTTATAGTCGGCTTCTTAAGTTAAGTTTAGATTTCGCTATCGAAAGCTTCGAACGTAGCGATAAGTTAAGCGTACGTATTTATATTATACGTTTTTATATAGTAGACGATTATTTAAACGAAAGCTACTAAATCTTCTTTCTTATAGACGTTATATATCGTAAACTTCGATTCCTTTAATTTCGATATAACGTCGGAGTAGTTGATTTGAAAACGGTCCTTTAACTTCGTATAGATACTATCGATCGAAGTATTATCGAAGAGAATTCGATTAGCTTTAAAGAGTATATAAACGTATTATATTACCGTAGAGCCGAGTAGGTACTAAGTTTAAACTTATCGAATAGCTTTAATACTAAATATTCGTTCAATAGACTTAAGTCGTTTGATAAATAAGAATACGTTGGTATACTTCGTCGTTTTTCTATTAACGATAATTCTAACTTTAGTTTTATCTTCGTCTTTTACGTTAAGATTAAAATAGCTAACGTCGGCTAGCTTTAGTTGTTATAGCCTTCGTAGTCTATCTTTAGGTCCTAATATATTATCGTTTTCGTAGAAAACTATAGCGACGATTTCGACGACGTTTTATTAGTTTCTCGCGAATACTTTAGATATCAACGTTATAATATCTTCGCGAGTAAGTAGTTAGTAGTTCGAATTAGAACCTATATTATTAGTGATATTGTATTCGATTAATAGTTAAATAAGAGGCTTTAGCTTAGGCTTAGTTAGTAGCGGTAGTAGTTTAAAATAGAAAGCCTTAATAACGGAAATAAGATAGTTAATAAAGCTTAGAGTTCGTAGTTATTTACGAATCGAAGATAGTAGTTTATTAACTAATTTCTATCGACTTAGTAACGATAAGCTAGAAATTAATAGTAGCCTAATAGGTAGGAAACGAAGTATAAAATTAAAGGTATTAATAGATAACTAAACCTACTACTATAGCTAATCGTTTACCGTAGTAACGATAGCTATTAATATTATAGCTTTTATTTTAGTAGTCTCCGAAGGTTTTATCGTAGCTTCTTAGTAATAAGCTCGTTAACGACGAAAGAGATTATCGAACTTCGATTTCGATTTAATCTAATTAAGCGGAAATTTCTCTTTAAGTTGATTTAATAGCTTAGTAGCGACGTTAAATTTGGTAAATAAAATCGATACTACGTAATCCAAATCTATCTTCGTTAAAAGATATCGTTTATTATAAGTAGAGACGTTAAAACGTAGAAGTTAATATACGACGAGCTAGTGTTTATTATAAGCGATCTTCTTAGGTTTACTTAGTATATAAATATCGATAACGTCGATAAGGTTTTATATCGATAAGATCCGATATCGATAAGATCTAATAAAGTAAACTTCGTAGGTATATTTCGTTACGAAACGATAACGAACTATTATCTAGGCTTCTACTACTAAAGCTATAGATACTAATACTTAATACGTCGTAAATACGACGTAAGAGCCTCGACGTAATAATAAGGTCGAGTTGATTCTATAGTAGGTACTACTTTGTAAAATAATTAGTAACTTAGTTATATTATCTAAGTACGGGTACTATAGAGGATACGAGCTATATATATATGGATATATAGGTTCGGTATATCATCTGATAACCGCGTTGGGCTCGTCGTATGGAGCAGTGATACAAGATCAAACTCAGACAAACCTGCTCCGCCAATGCGGTTCGAGCGCCGGATGACGTCCCGAAGCCGTCTACTAGAAGCCTACTAGTCTAGCTTGCTCCCCAAATCTGTGGAGTGAGTTGCCGCTCTCTCCTGACGTCGAGGCGCTTGTACCGATCCACGCTGCCTCTCCAGGGCAGCGGCTCCGACTAGGCAGGCCAAGAACTTGGCGCTGTCTCCCTACGAGCTGTGCACTATCCGCAGAATCCAGTGTCTTGCCTCGCCGTGTCATCGTAACGGACAGTTAATGCCAGACTGCTCGCCAATCTCGCCGCGGTGTCTGTCAACCGAGCTATCTGCTGACACTCAGATGCTGTGGCGTAGTTGCATCATGCGCATACCTACGGCATTGACACCAGATGTCATCGTCAGAAACGCCCCCCCCTCTCCTAGGCCATAGCCTCCGATCCACGGAAGCAACACCAAAGCGGAAGGGGGCCATGAAAAAGACGTCTTTATCGGAAGATCTATGCGCGGCCCAGGGCGCCTAGAAACTTCGGGCCCGAACAGCAGTCATCAGTTCTAGTTCATACCGCCCCCAAGAAACGCAAGCTTTGCGCCACACACGCACACGACCCCCCGAGCTGGGTGCTGGTGAAAAATGGCATGTGCCGCCCCTTCGTTTTAGACTCCGGGGCGGTCCCCACCTTTTCTGCCAGGATCTGGCAGGTACTCGCGTGTACAAGGCTGGACTACTGGTGGAGATTAGGCCTCGGTACGACGGGGTACTTTGCGCGGATCTGGCTGGGATGAGGCCGGTCGGATGTCTGACCCTGTAGAAGGACTTCTGGGACCGTGAATGGCATCCACTGTGGGTCTAGGTGTGCCATCAGCTACCTGCGCTGCTTCGAGCACTGAGGGCAGACCGCTGCGGTAGGTCTGTCGAGCTCTCCTTAACCTCGGCGTCTCGAGTGAGATGCTCACCTTCCTCGTGTCTGTTGTCTGTTGACTGTCTCATCTTCACGAGGTTTAGGTGGTAGACACACATGGTTTCGACGGCCTGGCTTAAGCAAGTCACCTGCCTCCGGGCAATGTTTCCTTCAGGTCACGCTTGCATATCGGACGACATGTCCGTGATACTGTCACAGTGGTATGAACTACCCACTCCGGGGGCTGGACCGAGGGAATCATGCGAGCCGCACCAGCATCTCCAGAGATGACAGCTCTGGCTAGGGCGTCTCCTGGTGCGGAGGACACCACCGTTGGTGGAGAACGGGTTCTGGGTGCGAGCGCTGCTAAGGCCTCCGGTCCCGTTGTCCAGGATGACAGGGTCTTTGCCACGGTCATGGTCACGCTTGAGAGGACCTTGGCGGTGTAGGCGCTATCCACGTCGATCTGAGGGACTGGAGGGTGTTTGTCAGATGCGGCTGCGTCGCATCGTCAACTGGTGGGGTGAGCGCTGTCTCCCAGTTGTGTTCGAGATCGTTACCAGGCTGATCTTGGCCTGGGTCTCTCGCGAGCAGACCAAGGTAGGTGGCCAGGACCGAGGTTGCTTGGAGGAACCCTAATTCCAAGTCCCGGCGAACCGGTGTTGCTGAGTGGGAGGATTATGCTTGACTGTTGGGTTGTCTGGTGCTTGAGAAAGAGCGTTCTCGCCAGGATGAGAGCTAGGGTGAGCGCCGGGATGAGAGTTGGGGAGACCGCTGGGAAGACCGCTGGAACTTATACTTTGAGATGGTCCCCTTGTGTGGTCGGTGCAGCGCGTCACCGCAGTCGTCTGGAAGCTTCAGGTCGTGGCGACGCTGAGTCTCCTTGCGTTCCCCTATGTTGGAAGCGGATCCCGGGTGGCTTCAATCTCTATCATGGAGCTGACCGCAGCGTTGAGCCGAGGTGTCCGATGAGGGTGTGACTGATGCATCCTACACGGTATTTGTGCGTGGTCGTAACATTCTGCTATCTTTCTGGTAGTATGCCCTTCTCGATGCTTTTTGCCCAACGAGGAGCACAGAGGACACACAATAGTGTCGGTGTCTTTCAGAGATTCTTTGTAGCAGGTCTAAACAACGGGCAGAAAGAAGAATGAGGAATTCGCAGCTTCGGCCTAGCAATCTTAGCAATCCCGGCAGAATTATCCGCACAACGAAGGTCGTCCGCCATTTCAGTCATGGGTGATGGTGCCCAAGATTTGTTACTGATATACCAGAGATTCCACCGGCAGCGCCTGCATTTGCAAAGAAGCATCAACCACTTACCTTACTAAAAAGGGTGAATATGTAAGCCCAAAAAATGCGATACTAATTGCAGGATACCAACAGAAAGCCTCCTGAAAGCTATGCACAAGAAAAAGGGGCAAAAAGGAAAGTCGCTTTATATGTTCTCCGGTACGGGGAATCGAACCCCGAGCCCCGCGGATCTTTAGGCCAGAATGGTCTTTTTGAAAACGCGATATGTTAACCGTTACACTATACCGGATGCTGCTGTTGGAATGGCAGAGCTTATTTTGTCTTAGCAGGATTGAGTCGTTTCCGAGCCTTCCGGTGTTAAGGACCCTCATTGAATTGGCGCTAAGGGGGTGCTGTATTGCTGAGTAGTAGAATTTGTGACGTCGCCAGCGTTACATAGAACTAGGCCTTAGTTGCTAGATGCAACGCGACAAAATCGACGGGTTGAGAACCTGGAAAGGAAGACCACAAAGCGAGGAGTTTGGAAATTGAAATGGTGGAAAGATGACTACGCTCAAGGAGCGTGTACACGGAAGGTACGATGAGGTGGAGATGCCTCTGTTGCGGCTGCTCACAGCGCCGGACGGGCAGGCGCAGTCCACTGACATGAATGGCTGATGGCTGACGACGATTGTGGGTTTTGTTTCTGGTTGAGTTTGCGCAGCAGGATTGAAATGGATAATAGCCCAAGGTCACTGTTCTCCTGCAATTGTTGGAAAAGATCACGTTTTCTCGTGGTTGGCAATAATGTTTTCCTACGTCGTTGGCTTGGTTGCCGTTCTCGTCTTGTTTCATGATCCCATTTCGCAGCTGCTGTCTTCTTCACCTGGGGCAGTACCTCAGCTTCAGCGTACCCCGAGGCCGCGACTCAATACCGAGCTGCTGGCGTTGGAGGATGATGGAACTGCAAACGAGACAGGCATAACATGCCCTCCGGATGCGTATTCGGTTCACATCTTCTCCAGAGAGCCTCTCGTGCTTTACATCGAAGGTTTTCTGTCTCCTGAAGAAAGAGCACATCTGCTAGACATCAGGTTTGTATTCATACATCCGTCTGTTGCCTTCCCACGCCTTTGCTTTTGAGGAGTGTACCTGAAGACCTACCATGTGTTGCTTCTCAATGCTATTGTTCATCAGACTCGTCAGAAAAATGTTGCTAAGTACAGCAAAAGCGATCCGATTTTCACGCCTTCGACGGTGACCCACGACGCCGGCAGCTCCACCCACCGTGACCTAACCGTCCGCGACTCGGAAGTCGCGCTCATCCCTCGCACAGAGACGGTGAGGTGCGTGGAAGCGCGGGCTCGCTCGCTGCAGGGCTGGCGCGAAGAGGTATGGATCGAGCGCCTGCGCGTGCAAAGGTACCGCCCGGGCGGCCATTACAGTCATCACTTCGATTGGAGCTCCGGACGAGGCGGCTGGGGTAGGGTGGGCAGCTTCATGGCGTGGGTCGACGACGACGACGCGGGCCTGGTCGGCGGCGGGACTGAGTTTCCTCTGCTGCGACGGAGAGGAGATGCGAGGTGGTGCCGGTTCGTGGAATGTCCTTCTGCGGACGATGAGGAGACTGCGGGTACTGTGTTCAAACCCATCGTCGGGAACGCGGTGTACTGGGAGAACTTCCGGTCTGATGGAAGCGGCCGGGGCTATGAAGAGACGTGGCACGCTGGACTGCCTGTTCTGGAGGGCGTGAAGGTTGGACTCAATATCTGGAGCTGGGGCCGCATTGAGTGAGGGTCACCTTCAGTCTGATTGATTTGCCAAGTGTAACTGTCTAGAAGCGTGATCGAACCCAAACAAAACACTAGGAATATCTTCTTAACAGGTTACAGCCTAGGGTCATTACCACAGTTATCGATTAAACATGCATGCCAATGTACACTGGAACAAAGGCGAGCCCTCCGACGTGAGCATAAGGTGTTGAGGCTAACGGAGCAGTAGAGATTAGACAAATGTGAGAAATGGGTTACTAGACGTCACGCATACCAAAAACCACAATGAAAGCAAATAAGATCGCAAGATTATCTTAGCACCAACTCATCCCTCGATTTTTCATGTCTATTGTCTTAGGAGGCACTATGCCAAACAGGAGGTTTTGAAACCGTTTGCAGGATGGAGACCGGTCGAATGATAGTTGACAAGACTACCACATATCTTCTCGACATCCTACAGCTCATCTATTACAAGCGTATATATCACATACTCGCTTAGAAGGCGAAGACCTGGTCGTCAAGCTTGCTGACTGGCCGTGCCTTTTGGTAGCCGAGCGCCTCAGTAGTCTTCTTCAGACCGCTGATCATAGGAGGTGGCCCGCAGAGGAGTATCTTGACATCGGGAGCGGGCTTGGGAAGCCATTTCTAATTTACGTTAGCCACAGCACTCCAACAACAATGGTTACAGGAGATGCACATACCGTAATCATATCTGCAGTGACATAACCGACACCACCAGTCCAGCCCGCAGGCGGCTTGTCTAGCACATAGTGGATCCGGAAACCCTTGTCCTCGGCCGCGAGCGCATCCAGGTCCTCCTTGAGCAGAATATCCTGGGGCGTGACGTTGGCAAAGATGAGGTCGACCTGGGTCCGATCGCCCGCCGCACGTCCGCGGATGATAGCGCGGACAACCTGCAGCATGGGCGTGATACCGGTGCCGCCGGCAATCATGCCGAAGTGGCGCACCATGTTGGGCTTGTACACGAAGGCGCCCTTGGGGCCCTTGACGCGGATCGTCTGCCCCACGGCGAGGCCGGCCATGTGCTTGCTGATGTTGCCGGTGGGGTAGGACTTGATGAGCAGGTCGAAGTAGCCCGGCTGGTGGTCGCCGCTGATCGGGGTGTAGGAGCGCACGATCTCCTTGGCGCTGCCGTCCGGCTGCATGATGGCGGCGCCGATGGAGATGTGCTGGCCGATGGGGAGGCCGAGTATCGAGTTCGCGCTGGGCAGGTTGAAGCGGTAGATGGCGACATTGTGGGAGATGACGGTCTTTTCCTTGAGCTCGAACTCCCGGAAGACGTCGGGCTTGAGCACCTTGCTTGGTTCTGCGCGGGGTGTGTTAGTATATAGTCTTGTTGGGCTGCATGTTCCAAAGCATCTAGGGAGCAAGGAATTGAGTAAACGTACGAACTCTGTACGCCTTGATGGCGCCGAGAATAACGGCAAGCAGCACGGCCCAAGGCGTCCACTCCCTCTTCACAATGATGGTACCGACGACGAGCAGGCCGGCGGGGATGTATATGCCATCGAACATCTTTTTGGAGAGCATTGGCTCAGACATGTTGGCGACCGTTAGAGCTCGACAGCTCCAATCGTCAAGAGAGAAAGTAAGAGTCGCCGGAAATGGTACCCCTCGGTGTCTGACAAGCTTTAAAGACAGGAAGAATCGGGCCTGTAGATCAAGGGGTCGGTCCTCCGCATCTGGTCCCGACTGAGGTGAGAAGTTCGACTTGTTGAGGGACCGAAGTGGGCCGATATTTTTCTAGATCCCGCCGTTCATCCCGTTTTCCGCCGTGCACCGGCGTTTCCAGGTTGTTCATTGGTTGGGGTAGGTAACTCAGACTCCGCCGGTACTATTGGCGCGCATTAACATCACTGAAACTAAAAGCAAGGTGCCTTACCGCAGTAGGTATTATTATGCCGATATCGTCTCTTCGGTGGCCGTTTGTACGACGCATTCTAACAGCGAAGCGCCAGCTCTTGGCCGGCCCTATTTCTTGTCCCCGACTGATAGCCCTCACTCCCATCGGCTTAGCTCTATGCAATCCAAGGGCCGCTCAATTGAGGTTCAAGGTTGGGACCGGCACAATGGGAGACAACCGAGATAACGTCCAGGTGGAGGACGCGCCGTTTCCACTCACCGATACGGACCGGTATGTCTTGTCTCTGACAGATGAAGAGTATCAGTACCATTATTGGGACGAACTCAAGGAGATCATCAGTAAGTCTTATCTTCTACACAAGTAACTTTAGTGGCTTGTAGCTAACCCATGAACAGAGACCAACAATCTCGCCATCCTCAAGAGGAAGCCGTCCGACTTGCGTCGGTATATGAAATGGACTGCCGAAACCAAGGCCGAGTATGGCAGCATGACCAACTATCTCCTGGCTCACCGCCTGCCGAAAGCCTGGGGCCAACCTCCTTTCCAACCAGCTTCAACTGTGCCGTTTGACGACCCGTCTGACTACCGTGTCCTGCGCAACGACTGGCCATACGGATTTGGCCCGGGCATCACTCATATTGTCGTGTGGTCTCGCACAACCATCGTAACCGATTCCGAGACAGGAGATATGACGCCTGAGAGCCGCAAAATCGTAGGCGACTTTGTGAAGCGTTTCTTTGTCGACAAGCTAGGTCCCGGTGCAGAGGATAGAGTCGTGTGGTTCAAGAATTGGGTCGCCTTGCAGAGCGTCCGAGCGCTGGAGCACATCCACGTGATGGTGAGGGATGTAGAGCAGGGTCAGCTTGTTGAGTGGACGAGAGAGCTGGACTGCCATAGAGCATAAAAGGCTTAAGATTGCTCTCTAAGACGAAGACGATAGATGTTGTGCGTAGCGAGTCTGTTGGGAGAACTGAGCCTTGGGGCTGGATCCTCAAAGTGAACCTAGGCCGCCCGTCGCTGTTTGCGATTTCCCGCCGGTGCGGCACCCTCGGCGCCAGGGGCCATGCCGTTCAGTTGGCCCAACTGTCTCGCGGCGCCCATCAAGCCATATCCTTTATACGCCCCGTAAGCTGGCACGAGAGCCCACGTCAACCAGAACCAGTTCCCGAAGAAGATGACGAGAAGCACAGTACCCCACGTGACCCAAATCACATCGAACATGTACTCGGTCAGACCCTGGGCGGCAAGATCCTCGCCCGAGGACTTGAGAGCACCAGTAGAAGGATCATAGCTGGGCCTTCCAGTCCTTTCCAGCGTGAATTGACAGACGAAGCTGGGGAGGGACACGAGAAGCCACCAGAATATGGACCGCGTCTTGAAGAAGTAGTGGAAGAGGATGAAGAGGCCATTGACCACGGCAGAGCCGAGATGAAGATTGTTGAGTGCCACAGTGTTGGTCTTGGCCCGATCTTTTCTTGCCTTTTGTGCCATGTTGAGATGTGTCGGTTGGCTACTTCGTTCTCCTCTCAAAAAGTGGTTGTGAGTGAATACTGAGTCGTTCGTGAACGAGATGCGAGATGCGAGTGACGTAGAAGCTGGGAGAAACCATCTGGCAATGAACCCGGTCGCTAGTTCGGACGCTAGTACGGTTAC